ATTTTCATGAAAGGTCTTGCTCTTTTACAATTTTTTTACCTTTTTTTTAAACTAAATGTAATTATTAAAAAATAAAAAGAATAAACCCCTACCCACCCCAACCCTTTCCACTTTCCTCGTGGTATTTGTTTCCTTATCTTCTCTCCCTTGCTCCTCTTTCCCTCACTAATAACCATCATCTTCATCCACCAAGAATAATTGTCTTTCCGGTTCTTCTTCTTAGCAGCCAAATACAGAAAAATCACGTTTCTCAATAACTTCACTATCACCCTTCTTCCATCATCCAACCACATTAACCACAACTTCAAAACACCATCAACACCACCTTATTCCTCCATTCCAGCCACCACCAGATTATCTTCTTCACCCAACATCACCCTCCTTCAACCTATTTTTCAAGCAGCCAAGATCATCACCACCCCTTTACCATATTGACGTTTGAACCATTTGTCCAGAACAACATCATTTACCTGCCAAAACACCCTACCACAATCAAACTTAGGAAAATCCATCTTGATATGTTTCTTTGATTGAAACCAGAAAACACAAAAAAGGAAGAAGAAGAGACATAGAGATCAAGAGGGGAGTATGGACACTTTTAATTCAAACAAAAAAAAAGTATTCATCACTTTTAACCTGCATCACCATCATCACTTTCCATTAACCAGACCACTACCAAACGTCACCACCATCTCCATTACTATTCACCTTAATCACCAACACCATCAACCTCTAATCTTTTGCTATGTTTCTTGCAACACAAATACCAACCCCTGCAATTCCCCTGATCATTACCATCACCCCTCCACCACCAATGATTTACACACACATATTAAAAAGGGCCTCGGTATTCTTGATGTATGTAAGGAATCAAAAGAATGAGGGTAAGGAGCTGAGAGTAAGATATGTTGTGTTTACTTGATTATCAATGGTTGATGAATGACAATGAAGATGAAAGGAATAGAGGACTTATATTCATAATGCGGGTGAAGAATGACAATGGTGTACTTTCGATGGTAGTGGTGGAGAGTGGGGCTAAAGGTCGAGTCAAAAGAAAAACAAGGAGACGAGAATATAAAAAGGGGTTGAGGGACGAAGGAGGGTTTCCTCTTCCACCATTGGAGTTCTTGATGCCAACGCCTATGCTTCCTTTTGCAAATCTGGACTAACTGTCGTCGTTGAATTTAAACCAACGTTTGTCGTCTCCTACCATCGTTTCTCGCAAATCTATGGTTTTGAGGGGATGGATTTTGGCACCGGTGGTTTCGGTTAGAGAGGCGCCGATTTATAATTTTGAACTTAAAGAATGAAGAACGGAGGAGTAGGAGCGGGGTACTGGTAGGGATGGGTGTTTTTTATTTATATTCTTTTTTCTTTAAGGTAAAGTTATTTAAGGAAAAATATAAAAGAAAAAAAGAAAGGGTATAAATGACATTTTATAGGGTTTTGGACTATCCATGAAAAGAATGAAATCATGAGAACCAGTTGTATAAAAAAAGACAAAATTTCATAATTGGTGTTTGTGTTTTGCAAACTATCTCACTTTGAGGACTTTTATATAAAACGTCACGCTACTGGTCCTGTCATTTGCAAAATTACATGAAAGGTCCTCATGCCGTTAAATCTAACTTTTCAGCTGTTAAATTTAAATGAAAAATATTATTTTACCCTTATAGCAAATTTGCAATATACTACAAACCTTAAGGACCATTTGTGTAATTTTGTAAAATTGGAATT